CTTATTATGACTACATCTGGAGATTTAATTTACCAAATTAATACTGTGCCAAATTTCACCTTTTGTAAATGGTAAAATAATTCATAATCAGTTAAGTTACTTTGTAAAAAAAATTAAAATTACTCCTGCTGATAAAATTCTGGAAGTGATTACTCCTTCCAGTAAAAAATTATAAGGAGCACTGGTGATGATTGAAAAATGAAAAAAATAAAATAAACGAATTTGGAAAGAAAACAAAACTGAGATAAACTGCATTGAAAGTGGAAGAGAATGTTTCTGCTGGTGCATGATAGAAAAGAGTGCAATTAGCAGCATAAACAAAAATTAATAGCAGTGGACTCCAGTGGAGTACAGGAGTCCTTATCACTTACCAGCACCTAGCCACTGGTGTGGTGAACCAAGCAGGCTTCCTTCCGAGTGTGCTCAATTCCATTCAGTTGAGAGTAGGGCAATGGTGTTCTGCAGGTAGATGGTGTATAGACACCCCTCCTATCTCAGACCTGATGTACTATTTCAGATGCTGCCTGGCTATGGAATGAACGATTTCTGCCAAAATACAGTCCACTACTCCAGTTGGGCACCCTCCTTCCAACCACCACCCAAATGTTGGTTGATGGGGTGCTGGTGTTGGTTGTTTTGGACTTGCACACATAATGATTTGGGTCCTTGGAACAGATGATCTTCTTCCTTTCCAGTTTCCGTGTTTGAGGGGAACGGTGGAAGACCCTCTTCCTACCATGGGCTGGATATTCCTATCATTGTTTTACTAGTGTTGGTTTAACTCCCCTTTACACTCCATCATACCATAGCCACTCTAAACCAGGGATCCCTATATGATGACACCCTTATTGTGACACAATTCAATTTCATGGGTGGCAAATATACCTGGCTCAGAAGTGGTACCATCTCCAATGGGTGTGTCTTACATACTTATTATTCACACATCCTATGGGCTTCCTTTGGATGGTTTCTGAAGGGGCCTCTTCTATGTACTGTTACTTCAGTCCCACTACTGGCTCAGTGTATAATTCTAACTATTCTGTGAAAGGAAGTAAGATATCATATTGGAAGTTAACATCTTCCTACACTGAAAATGATTTCTGATAGTCTTTCCTTCTCTCACCCTTCCTCCCCACTTCCAGTGTCTTTCCTTTTCTGTTGCTCATTCTAAAAGTGAAATTAGGTTAAGCTGCATAGAGAGAGTCAGCTGTGCTAGGAGTTGTGTCGTATTCCTATTGGTGGAGGGTTGTCGCATGCTCATTTGCATGCTATCATGCAGCTGCCTCATGTGAAAACATGCAAGAGAAGGTGGGAATATCAAGGCTAGTGACAAGCACAAATTTGCACATATAGAGGGCAGTACAATTTGGGTAAAGCTAAAAGCTTGGGAAGAGGTAAGAAGTACTATTTTATTCAATAATGTATGATATCCCATTCCACACCACCATGGGAGAAATGGAATACATTTTTCTTCTGTTCCATCTATTGAGATATTCTAATTGAGTACAAACAGAAAACTCTTTTGTGTGTAGTTTAATACATGTTGACAAATGATGTATTTCAGTTATTTCACATACTTACAAATTATGGTAATTTCTTATCGTCATCAGCTAAAGAAAGTCACTATTATACCTCTTTATTTTTCTAAATGTTCAGGGTACTAGGCTGAACAACCTTGGGTAAAGATCAAAAGTTTATATCCAGAATGAATAATTAATATGTATTAACCTGAATTCTGTTAGAAATGGCATACAATAAAGGTAACACAATATCACAGTTCAAATGAAAGTTTTTTATAAATATACTATTTGAGAAACTGCGGAATATACAGCATATTACATTTGAAAATGTCTGCTTTCTAAAACAGTAAAAATCATTTTTATTTGCTTTGTACCATTTAACACAGAATAATGGTACCATAATCACGAATTGTCTATATTAATAATGACATAAACAGCTTACCTTTAGCATTAAGCTCATTTCGCTGAGCTTGAAGTCTTCGAAGGTTTTGAGTTTTATCAGTCACAGTCAACTAACATAAAACAGAAAAAAAAATTGATAGCCTCTGACAGTGTAGTTTGAAAAAAAAAGCTCAAAACTCTGATAGATCAATTTGTTTCCTTTTGAAAGGTAACAAAAAATTTCTGTCAGTTTTACCATTAATGATTCTTACACTGTAATTAAGGTCATTTGAGACTTTATAACATTGAAAACCAATCTACAGCTGAATTTCTTTGAACTGCAAATACCCAAGTTTACAGAGTTTGAACTGTAAATAGACATTTACAAACAACTTAAAATTAGTTCATCTGATGAAAGGTTTAGCCCCAACCAACAAGTATACTTGTGACATTTTGCAGATACACAATCTTTTTTTTTTTAACAACTTCACATGTTTGTTCATTACTAGCTCTATTTAAATAAAGCTATTTTCAAACTTCATAAAAACTAACACAAGTTCAGGTTTTGTTGTCTTTTTGTTTAAACTAATTTTTTATCCTACAGCTTCTGAAATATATTTCCTCTGTCAGTTTGTCTTTTAAAGCTACAAACTTGAAGAGGCTGCTTAACTACTATATACCCAGCCTTCATACATTTTAAAACCCTTTTACTTGTAAATGTAGTTCTCAATTATATTTCAGTCACCTTCCTATCTGTTGGTTGGTCTTATTCATGAATGTACTATTAACACACAACAACAATTAGTGTGACAACTAAGACCACACAACACTACTCACAGAGTAAAAACTGAAGCACATAAACAACAGTACTCATAGTGTAACAATTAGGGCACACATACAAGACTAATCACAGTGTCACAACTGAGACATAATACTAACTACACTGTAACAACTAAAACCACACAGCACTACTCACAGTGCTACAAATGAGGCACACGAGTACTCATTGTATAGCTGTGTAGGCTCACAACACTAATTACAGTGTAAAAATTGAGGCACAACACACAACAATACTCACAGTGTAACAACTGAGGCACACTACAAAAGTTACAGTGATACAACCGAAACCACAGAACACATTCACAGTGCAGCGACCCACATATAACAGAATTCACAGTGTAACAACTGAAGCAGACTCACTATTTACACTGTGAAAACTGATATATACACATTGGTACTCATACTGCAACAACTATTGCACATAACACAAATCACAGTTTAACAACTGAAGCAGACTGATATATATACACATTAGTACTCATACTGCAACAACTATGGCATATAACACAAATCACAGTGTAACAACTGACCACACAATACTACTCATAGTGCAACAACTGAGGCACAAAACACTAACTAGTGTAACACTTAAGGCACATACAGCATTACTCACATTGTAGCAAATGATATTCAGACGACACTTGTGAGAGAGTAACATCTGAGGCACAACACAACACTACACACAACTAATAACTGAGACCATACAACCATAATTACAGAGAAAAATTGGCAGCTAACTCACAACACTCCTCACAGTTCAACATCTGAGGAACACAAGAAATATTCTCAGAGTAAGAAGTGAGATGGACACACAACACTTATAACATTGTGACAAGTGAGATCACAACACTATTCACAGTGAAATAATTGAAACAGAAACTAATAACAGTGATAAAACTAAAAAAATAATAAATACTACTCGCAGCATTACAACTAAAGCACACATAACACTTCCAATAGTGTAACAACTGGGGTCCACAACAGTAATAACAGTATAAAAGATGAAGTCACACAACACTACAGTGTAACAATAGAAGCTTACACCACACTCTTGAAATTGTAACAAATTGATATTCAGACAACAGAGTAACAACTGAAGCACAGCCTAATACCACTCACAGTGTAACAACTGAGGTACACATAAAAAAGTTCACAGAAAAACAACCAATACACACACAAAATACTATTCATAGAGTAACAATTATGACAGACACTATTTACACTAACAACTGAGACTAACAACTCTAACCAAAATGTAACAACTGTGACACAAAACATTAATCACAGTGTGAAAAATGAGAATATAAAGTACTAATCACAGAGTAACAACTAAAACAACACATTGCTAATCACTGTGCAAAAAGAGAGACTATACAACACTACTCAACTGTAACAGCTGAGACAGACACACAACACTATTCAAGATGTAACAACTACAACTTCACAACACTAATCAGTTCAACAACTGAGACTACACAACACTATTCACAGAGCAGAAAATAAGACACACATAACAACTACTTACAGTAGAATAATTGAGGCATACAAAACAGTATTCAGAACATAATTGAGATACACACACACTCACACAACATGATTCACAGTGTAGCAACACTATACACAGGAAAAAGAATTACCATAACAGTCATGTTTGAAATACATATAGGACACATTATCTACCTCTACAGACCATATATTGATGAAATGGAGTTAGGGAAAAAATGGCATTCATGAGATATACAACAAAATGTTCATACATATAGCCTCACCAAAGTCCCAGTTTTAAATGAAATGTTAAGAAAAACTTGTGCAATGATCACAGTTAGTTACTTCATAATCCTAATACTAGTATGAGGGGTATTAAAGCTGAGCAAATTAATTAATTACCTACAAGAAGCCACTACACTGATTAGTGTCTCATAAACAAATTTATTAATCGAAATTACTATTAAATTGATTGTTATGGAAATAATCAACTAAATCATATTAGGGTTTCAGCATATATGGTGTTTTAAGTTATTTAAACTTCATAAGTAAACAAAATATTTCCATTATGTCTGTTTGCTTTTAAGCACAAGGAAAAAGGGGTGTCTCTTGATGTGAGGGTCTCAGGTTCGATTCTCAATGCCACTAAACTTGCCCACCCTGTCTCTGTTATTATAAAGCTATTAAGACTATTTGCCATTGTCACAAATTTTGAACTGCTGACTACAGGAAAGACGACTGGTTGACAGTACCCATCACAAACTCCCTGGCTACTTGAGTGTTAAATAAAGTATAAATTTACTGGTTTTTTTTACATTGTGTTGTGTTTCTAATTTCTAATTGGGTAAATGTATCATTTAATGTTGAATACAAAAGCAGATCTAGAAGAGGAAGTCTGGGTCCTATCTCTTCATCTTTTTTTTTTCCAGTAATTTATAACCATATCTTTACTGTTGTATAAGCAGGGGCACATCTAGGAGATGAGTCCAGGAAATCTGGACTCTCTCTGTTCATTTCTTTTTTTTCAGAAATTAATAACTATTTATTGAAAAAAAGACAATGATTTAGGAGAGGAGAAATTAATAACTGTGTTCTTTAAATATTGTATAAGCAGGTTTGGATCTAAGGGAGAAGGTTGAGAGAAATTGAATTACCCTCACCAGAAATTAGTAGCTGCATGATTTATTGTTTTATAAATAGGCGCAGTTTTAGGGGAGGATGAACTCTCTCAATATTTTTCAGAAATAAATGAAAATAATCAGACATCCATACACTTTTGTATAGTATCAAAAAGAAATATTATATGTCAGTTTTTATTTGACTGGGCTATTACTTACAACAAACGTTTTTTTTTTTTTTTAGGTTTTTTGAAATCAACACAGCTAGAGTTTACAGCAATTCAGTTAAGGCCTCAGCCAATAACTAATTAATTCTAATACAACAATATGAACAAGTAAATGTCGCCATGGTAAATTTTCATCTCTTGTCTTTTACCAGATACTCAACAATCTCTACAGACTGTTATAGATTTTTTTTAACAAAGTTATTATTGTTTAGGGCATCTGCAGCTCTTGTTAAAAAGCTGATTTTTTATTGCCTAAAAGTTAGAATACTTGTGGAAAAAATTTTTTCTGTATTTTTGATGTTTCAAATAAGTGAAAATTCAAGCAGTACATGAAATGCTTGTTATTAACTGCTTTTTTTTCCGTGTCAATCACATTACAAAAAATAAAGACGTACACTTCAAAACTGCTGGATTATAGCATAACGTTACTTAATTTTGACTTCTTTACATTACATTAGGGCTATATGGTCAATACTGATTAACCTAAAATACTATATTATTATAGTGGACATCTTTCCTGTAAAAAGTTTGGTTACAGTGAAAAACTGTTACACAGCTAACTTTTCAAAAGTTAACTGGTATCGTATTATTGTATAAATAAAACATTACTGCAACTAGTGTAGAGAAGTTAAATGTTATTACTTGTTAATGCAACAACACTATATCTGAATACACTTTCTACTTTTATTCTTATTCATTCTCTAATGGTTTGCAAACTTTGTAAAATAAAGTTATAACTATTGAAGTAAATTTATTCTAGTTTTGCTTGTTTGATTTTAAGTTTATTCTACAAGAAGAATATTGAAATATACCAGATTTTTACTTTGGCCAAATACTCATCTGCCTAATAAATATTGCAACAATTATTCATTTCACATGATTTGTTACAAAACGTTTTAGTAACTATGTAGTTACAGATAGAATACTTAAGGCCCACATCAACATAGTTGTAAACTAGGGGTGCTAAATTCAGATAATATTATGTATTAAAACATTTTTAAATAGCTTTCAATCATTATCATATCAGTTTTTGAAACAAAAAAACACTGAGAAATTGCAATTTTTTTCCTTATACAAATAGTTATATACATATATTGCATATTTCTGTAAATTCTATAAATATACAGATATAGTGAAGAAACACAAAAATAATTGCATCTGGGATACAGTAATGACCTGTTTTGGTTAAACAGCAAGCATTTATCACTTTATTACACAAATGGTATGGTAGGACTACTAGCATCTATTTGCATAATTGTTTATCTGTACCAACATACCCCCCTCCCCATTCTCCACACTAGATTAAGCAGGATGTTTAATTTTGGTTTAATTTTTACCTTGTAACTATGCTGTGCAGAAAACAGTCTATTTTCTACATATTAATCTCTCTTCGTATCAAAATATACCAAAATAAACAGGGCTTAGCTAAACTCTTTGACTTCACATCAGTTTGTTGTATCT